GATATACATCATCTGTCTTTGTGTGCTCCAACAATACATGAAAAAAAAACCTAATTGGGTGAATTATTATTGTTCAAATAATGACAACTGAAAGTTTATTTTGAAAAAAATCGCTATAAAAAGTGGTAACATTTTTTAACAATTTTAAAAAATATTCGTGACCATAAATGCAAATGTGCATCGATCAATGCACTTAGACGTCACATAATTAAAATATGATTTATAAGCGTAAATCTGTAAAATCACAACTTTTCTGAAAAGGTTATTTTCTGATATCACTTATACATGGAGCTGATTGATACTCCTGGTACTATGGGCTAGTACTATACAAAACTATGACATCACTTGTATTAACCAGCTCTATGAACAAATGTGTTAGAATAGTGATTATTTTACCTGAAAGAAGCTGATTTCATGTGTAAGAAAGATAGATTTAGCATGTGGATCTGCTAGAGTGTCAATACCCATCAAACCAAAGACACGCTTCTCTTGATTTTTAAGAGGCACAACAATCAATGAACCATCTCTTTCCTAAAGTAGAAGTAAAAACACAAATAACAAAAATCAAGTAAAATAAATATGGTAATGACATAACCAATGGTTAATCAGGTAAATTTCTAAGGTCAATAATTACAGTCATCCATTACAGCAATACTGGTCAGGAAAATCTTTGTTTACACATTTGACAACTCGGTAAATGTTATGTAATAAAGAATCTCATGACTAACTGGCATCAATATAGAACTATACAGGGTCTTGTGCTATGGTAAATTCTTATTTTTTAAATATTTTTATGCCAAGCAATGTTTCCGAGACATTGAAAACACTGCTGTTTCTCCTGACATTTTTTGTCTTAGTGTGCTAACCAGATTCTCAAACCTAATACTGCATGTTTGTAAAGGCAGAGCAGACTGTAAATCAAACCTATACTGCTACGTGGACAGTCAGCCACAGGAATCAAACCCAGAACCTCCATGGTATGAAGCAAATGTGCTAAGCAGTCTAACATTGCCTTATAGTGTATTCTAATGTGCTTGTGGAATGTGTAAGTATATGTTGACAAAGCAATGGAGTAGACATATCAAAGGTATGGGGTCCCGGGTGTTGATTCATGTTTCATAAAGTTAACCAAGGCTGCACCATTGGCATGAGTATGTGACAAGTGTTCCCTCTGTCTCATAGTAACTCAATACTAGGTAGTATAATTCTCTTGTGTTGAAAAATAATATTACAATGCCACATCATATACAGTTATTGTCTAGAGATGCAATGTACTTTCAACACTGACGACCAGCTGATAAATTTGTAATGTGATGCACTCCCAAACGATGCAACTTCAAGAATAGATGACAGTATTGCTTTGCAGTGATATACCACCTAGTACACATGTCAGTAACATTTAGTGACAATATTATACGAATATGTGAATATTAGTCATGATAATTATAAAATAAGAAACCTTGCAATTTTGGCCATTAATTACCATGAGAACTGAGAGAAAGTTTATTCTGGCAAGGTTATAGATAATACAAGGACACACTCAAATGTAGCTATACTATGGAAGCTTACGTGTGTGTAGAATGAACTATAAAGGGATAAAACTCTCATCAGTAAAGCAAGGTGGCAGAGCAAACAGACTCAAAAACCATTACTTACACTTTCCTCATTGGATTCCTCATCAACAATCCCTTGTTTAAACTTTTACAATCATAGTGTGAGAAAAACATATTAGGATGATAATTTACATAATGGTGAGTTAACAAACAAACATATATATCCATATATGGAATTAACCAATTGTAATACACACAGTGATTGGTTTAATCTAATTTTGAATAACTAAGACAAGCAATCAGATTTTGAGTTTAAAATTATTGACTTATGCTATTGGTCAATTCAGTTTGCCATATATGGAAGATTTAACGACATGAAAGCTATAACAGACAATACAATGAATGAATGACAATGAATGAATGAATATTTTATAATTTTCTGCAGACGCTACAGACTATGGCATGCATATGAACACATAAACACAATGATAATTTTAGTATACTTGTTACTATGGTAACATGCAATGAATGATGGGTATTGATGTGAATTGTGGGATACATTACCTCCTCATATCTATCAGGATTCCAGAAGTGTATGTTGCCATGGTTTTTAACACGAGGTACATGGATTGGTTTTCCACTTTCTACAGATGCAAAGCTGGCAATAAAGAAATGTGACAGTTAATTGTTAATGAAAGAGGCAACTGGGTTTGTTCTTAACTACCTGATAATATCTGACTTTAATGTTTATATTATACACGTGCAATGTCATCTGACTTTTAAGAAACCATTTTGGAGTCAGCATCTTTTTTATTCCAATGCCGTGTATGGCATGGTTTGAGTTTCATGTTTTACATCATATTTTTGTGTCATTCAAGTGCCTTATATTATTTCACAATTTGTTGTTTAAGTGTTTATATGTAATTTGTCTAATGCCAATTGAGATCAAGAACACTACTACCAATCCACTTTCTTTTCCCTTTACCCCAGAAATAAATCTAGTAAATCAAACAATGTTTTTTTATTTGCTTAAGCTGCACTGTACTTCCAACACTGATGGCCAGCTCCAGGTCTGAATCAATTACTTTGATTTTTGGCATTGTTTTTTTACTTGCATGTGGCAGTAATTTGGCAGTGAAAAACTTGGATTTCATGCAAAACAGTCTTTCAGCTTGGGTGCGAAAGTTCACTGCTATTGACCTTACAATTGAACATTTTATAGGCTACAGGTAGCTCACAATTTCAGCAAAAGTTTTGAATTAGTGATATAGAATGTTAACACTGTCATCTATAAGAATTGTAACAGTGGGTTTTCAACATCTTATCCTATGTAATGGCAATGATACATGTATGTGTAGTATTTTGTGATGAACTGTAGACTTACCTTATTCCTTTCATATCTTTGTAGAGTGCTTTACCAAGCATAAAACCTGCATCATCCTGCGTGGTAGCAGAGTACCTCAGTACATGAGTGCCTCTGGATGGATTGCCTTCATTGTTTTCTAACAATGCCACATTGGCACTGATACGTTTTCCGTTACCATGGCTCTCAGCATCCTGCAAAGTGAAACAAATCAAATAACTCTATTGAAAATCTGAGAGTCAGGAAAATCATAAAATTTAATAACAAATTTCAGTCAGAGAGTCACAGTGTTTACACAATCCCCATCATCAAATCAGGAACACAATTCAATGGTTTGCAGTATATTCATATGTAGTGTTTAGAAAAAGTGTACTAAGTGAACTTACTTTGTAGAGTGCTTGGAAGACTGCTTTGTAGACAGGATCCATACTGGCACCTCCAGTCTCAGCAGCTATGATGATCTGTGCTAACCATTTCTTACGTGCTTGTCCACGAATACGCTCTGTGTATGAACGCTGTGTATGAAAAAATTGTGGATAAAATATGAGTAAATGAGGAAGGCCTGGTTTGGTAAAATATGAGTAAATGAGGAAGGCCTGGTTTGGTCTGCAATGAATACAAATATCAACACTGACATTCTTCACCATGCATCAGATATATCGTCCGGGTATTCATTCACCTCAGGTTTGAGAAAAAACATTTCAAGAGCTGAAAATTCTACTCTTTACATTTTAGCAAGTAAGTACTCAAGTAACAATTACTTGTGTAGAACCTTGATGCAACATGACTCACCTCAACACTGGTTGTCAAGAATTCAATGACCGGTTCAAAGTTCACCTCACCTCCAGGAAGACTGCGACAAATGGTTTCAATAAATTTACGAAACTCTCTTTTACTCAGTTTGTCATCTTTACTTAAGGTCTTCTTAGCTACAATACGAATTATAGATAATCAGATAACCATAATGCTATCATAACATAGAGCAGTTGTAATTATTAATAACGAAAGTTAACCAAGTCATTGTCAATGACATAGACCCTGTTTCAGCCTATTTGATTTATCTGAGAGTGTACCTACCTTTCTCTATAGCTTCGTGTTCCATATTTTCCTTATATTTTCCCAATACCAGTAAGATTTCATCCAGCTCCAGATATCCAGATCCATCATTATCCCATTTTTCAAACACCAGATCAAGAAGAGTTCTACGTTTTGCAGTCATAGCTTCGTGGCGAGCCTAGAAAAACAGTCGCAACAAATTAAAACATATTTGAATTGATTGCAGACTGAAATAATGTGAGTTCTGCACTATCCCTCAGTCTGGATATACTGGATGAGAACAGATTATTGTCTCTCTCAGAAGTTTTATGGGTAACATGTCCAAATAAGGTATGATGACTATATTTAGGAGATGAATTTATGGGGTGGTATAACAGTATTACTTTATTATACTGTTATTAACAGATAATAATAATTTAAATTAAAATAGAGATGGCAGTGACTAAATTCACAAAATCATAATTTTATTGGAACTTTTTCTAGAACTAAACTATTCTGATAAGTTTACAGTTGTACCAATCAAATTTTATTTCAGCAAAACAG